CACCCCACCCACTTGGTAGTTGTGCACCACGGTGACGTGCATGGGTGGCTTCTTGGTCTTGCTGAAGCTGGTGACCGAATCCTGCTTGGGGCCCGGCACGCGGCAGGAGGACAGGATCTGATAGTACTGGTTCATGCACAGCGGCTTTCCCCCCAGGTACTCCACGGGCAGGGTCTCGCTGCAGGGGCAGAGGGACCCACAGGGAGCTGCTGGCTATGGCTGCGGGCTTGGTCAGGCAGTGGGGCTCACACAAGCAGTGTTGGGCCCCTTCGTGTCCCCCCTGCCCCCTCAGCGTGAGGTTGGGGACAGGGGGGCCTGTTGGAGCCCGACTGGGTCAGGAGGCCTGAAATCCACCCTGCTCGTGAGTCACCCTGGAAACTCCCTTCTCCTCTCTGGGCTTCAGTTTGCCACAGGGAAGATGAACAGCAAGTCAACCCCGGCGGGGCGGGGTCCTCTTTGGCGGGGACGCCAATTCCAGGGCTCTCTTGGAATAGGACCACCCGGAGGAGGTCACGGTGGCTGGAGTGGAGGACCCAGGTGTCCCAATCCCCATGCTCTGTCTCCCCAGCCCCCAAAGAGGCTGGGTCAACAGGAAGTGAAAGCGACTGAGCTCTGGGCCTGCTCAGCACCCCGGCAGGGGGTGCGGGGTGCGGGGAGGGGGCTCCGGCTTAGGGTAGGGCAGCTGGAGGGGCTGTGGTAAGTAGGCAGTCAAGGTGGGAGGAGACAGGGTAGGGGCGGGGCCACTCACTGGTCAATCCTGGCCTTGAAATCCAACACGCCCTCGATTAATTTGGCAGCGAACCTGGAGGGACCAGTTAGAGATCAGAAGGCTGTGTGGACACCCAGAAGGAGGTCCCTGGGTCGGAGACGCCAGGGTGACGGGCGCACCCTAGTCCAGGGAAGCCACCTACTGCCTTCCTCCTGTCTCCTGCTTACAGAGAGCCTGAAGGAGTTCAAGTGCAGAACCTGCGTTCCAGTCCCAGCCCACGTAATCTCTAGGGAAAGGGATTAGGGAGATGCACCAGCCAAGCGCCTGGCAGGAACAGCAGCATGATTATGGCTGGGTTATGAGTCAGTGCCCTCTGACTCCACCCGCAGAGGGCCTGAGGCCCTGATCCACAGCCTGGAGTCTGGAAGGCCGTCACCCTGCTCTGAAGCATCAGTTATGGAGGGACCTAGGACTGTGGGGGTAGGGGAAGGGTGAATGGGAGGGCAGTGGCGTGAGGTGTTCCCCTCTCCTAGATCCCTTCCTGTTTCTGGGCCTCTGTGTCCCCCAGGCCACCTTGCTCAACCTGCCCTTCATCCCTGGACTGTCTGGGCCATATCAACCATGCCCGAAGCCTGGGGGTGCTCCTGGCCTCCAACATGGGGCCCACTGGCTAGATAGAGTTCCTGGGCCTGAACCCCTGGCCCTTCCTGGGGTGCCCTGATCCCTTTAAGAGAAGCAGTGATAGCCGTTGAGTGTCTAGTCCTTGGGCAGCAGATCCTCGTCACTGGTATTTTTACCCCTGGTAGGACTGGAACAGAGGCCAAGGCAAAGTGACACGGCCAAATGTGGAAAGGGGACTGTGCACAAAGGTCACCCCCGTGGCCCGCTGAGGAGAGCAGGAAGGAGTGGTGAAGTGCCAGAACTGGAGTGAGGGCTAACCTCAGGTTTAGGGGGAGGGAGGGGACCTAGTCTGCAGTTTGGTGGTTAACAGTTATGAAGCTCTGGAGCCAGGAAGATCCTGCTTCCTGTCTGGGTCAGCCAATCCTGAAAGGCGATCTTGAGCAGGTGCCTTCACTGCTCTGATCCTGTTTCTGTACCTGTAAAACAGGGATGACGCTCCCTATTTCCTAAGGCTGTTTGTGGGGATGAACGATAACGAACAGGGCCGGGGGCCCTTCCACTCTCCCAGCAGGAAGCCTGGAGCCCCACGCCCGCCTCGGCCACTCACCTGAGCTGGCCCTGCCGATCCACAAAGTCTTGCTTGGGCAGCACCAAACCAGGGCTGGAATAGATGACTAGGGGCTGGCGGTACTGGAGATAGGCTGTTTTAAGCCACCAGTCGGACAGCTGGGGGAAGGACCAGAGCCTGTGAGGAGGGGTGCGTGGGGACCAGGTTGCCCCTTCCCCACCAGGGCCAGTGGACCTGGCTGGGCACCCTCTGTCCCCTCTAGGGAGCACAGATTCTCAAAGTGAATGCTCAGATCCAGACCCCGCCCAATCCCTTAAACCCAGCAGCATCCCATCATCCTCCCGTTAGATGGAGCCAATCAGCATTAGCGAGGGAAATCAGGCAACACTGCCAAGAAAAAAAACGACTGGCAGGAGGCCTGGGGTGGGGGGAAGAACAGAGGCAGAAAATATCAACCATTTTTCCTTATCTTACATGTTTCAGGTCAATGGTTTTAATACTTTAGAAATAAAAACGTCTGTCTGATAGAAAGGAAAACAGAGAAAGCTATATAAAAAGAAAGTCTGATGAATGAGTTTTTGCCCATCTCAGGTAGGCACTGTCCAGGTAGGCAGGAGCCCGGGGTTCAGAGGAGCCCTCAGGAATCCTGGTCCTCTGTGGCCTCAGTTTTGTTGCTGCCATACTAGGGAATGGACACCCACTTGGATCTCAAGGTCGGGGGAATCTAGGGAGCTCACTGTAAAGACAAATCATTGCACTAGTGACAAGATGTAGGTGACACATGCTGCATCCCTACTGGGCTGGCCGTCCTCCGCCCAGGGCAGGGTATCTCTGGGGACTAGCCACGGACATGCTGCTAAAGGCTCCTGTTTTGGGACAACCAGGTGACTCCCACCCTTGTACCTTAGGTGCTGATGGCAACATCGCCCCCACTACACACTCCCCCAAGCACAGGCCCAATGTGCCTCTTTGTGGCAGGTCCCTAAATCCCTGGAGACCCAGGCCCCACCGTGCTTCCGCATCCCATCTTAAATAGCACTGGGACGTGCCTCTTCACCACACAGACTCCCCTTGGGAAACTGCTGGCCTTGGGCCCCTGGCAAGGGGTGAAGGAGGGCAACGTGCCCAGGTGGCACAGCAGGCCAGTGGGCGACTGCTGTCTGCTGATTTGTGACCTGGAGACACAGCCCCTGATCAGCCAGCCCTTCCTGTCTAACTCGGAGCCTCCTGGAGAGCTGCTGTGTGCCTCTGGGATTTCGATCTATCTCTCTGGGCCTCAGTTTCCTCATCTGTAGTTCAGGGAGGGGCAGACAGGAACTCCCTCCCCTTGAGGACAGCCGGGCTGGGCTGGCCTTTAGCCAGGAGCCCTCACGCCACCAAGGACCTCAGAGCCTCTGACCCGAGCTCGGGAGTCAAGGGGAGATCCTATAGATGTGGGCATTCCCTCAGTGAGAATCTGCTGGGCAGTGGTAGAGCCCCTTAAGAGCCCTGTGAGTGGAGAGGGGGTGGTGCCCCCAGCCCTTTAGCCAGCAGATTCTGTCTGAAACAGTAGTTCTGGGCTCAACAAAGTTGGAAAACTGCCAGGCCTCAGACTTGCTGAGATCCTGATTCCAGGGTCCAAAGCCCTGACCCTCCAAGGCTCATCTGTGCCCTCCACCAGCTGATGACTCCCACCTCCTCTGTGCAGCCCCCACCCTTCCACCCGCTCCCTCACAGTGCCCCTCACGTTGTAGGGCCAGACCTGGCTCTGGTCCTCTCCTACACACCCGCTTCTCCCTCATTCACCCCTCTCTCAACACATCCCCCTTCGCTTCCCCCACACACTTGCTTTAGGACAGGACTGTCCACCCCCCACTCCCATCAGCAAGTGCCATGACACCGAAATATACCCTGGACCAAATGACTTCCCACCCTCTCCCCACCGGGCTCCCTGTCCCACCCTGCTTCCCTCCCAGCAGCAGGGCAGTCCTCTCTAACTTCACGTTGAGGTGTAAGATGCGCACAGACAAGGGCACACGCTGAACACACCTTAGTGACAGACTGAGACACAGAACTAGGACAATGAGTCACTGTCAATATAATCACCCTACAGCCCCCTCCCACTGAGCTCAAGTCCAAGTGCCAAATTCTGGGGGCCCCGCCCCGCCCCGCCCTTGCACTCCACTCTAGCGAGCTGTTGCCACCTTTGCCCGTGCTGTTCCCTCTGTCTGTCTCAGACCCAACACTGCCTCCTCCCTGCCCTCCCCGCCCCTTCAGAATGAAGATGCTACTGTTCTCCACTCTCACTCTCGCATCGTCCTTTTTATTTCTATAGAACTTCACTGCCTGAGAGGACCTCGTCCACTCGCGTGTCCTCTTCCTGCCCCACTTGAATGTCAGCTCTCGCAGGCCGCTGATGGCGCCCCTCTTGCTCTCCCAGCACCCTGCCTGGTGCCAGGCACAGAGTAAGTACTCAAGAAACTCCGTGGTGCAAATGGATGCACCAGAGCAGCCCGTATTGGAAAATCTGGGGTGTGCAGCCAGCAACAGGCCACAGGAGGGATGCTCACAACGACCCAGGGTCTCTGGGCGGGGAGTGCCCTGTTCCCCTAACCCTGCATGCGAGTCAAGGGGACTGGTGTGCCCCTGCCTTCTCACTTACCCAGTTCTCCATCTTCCTGGCCCTGCGCTCCAGCCCCTTCTGCAGGCGCTCCCCTACGCCCCCCGCGGTCTGAAACTCTTCCACCAGCTGCTTGGTTTGGGCCCACTCCTCCTCGCTCACGATGGGCTGCAGCGCCTTGAGATAATGGTCCAGGGTCTGCTGGAGCGGGGGCACGGGCAGCCGGGGTAGCGAGTCCTGGTGTGTCTTAAAGCGACTGGAAACCGTCATCACGGAGGAGGGCTTGAGGAAGCCCAGGGGCTTCACCTGCAGGCAGCAGAACATCCCGCTCATTCTCGCACCAGCTCTAGGAGGCCCTGGCAATCCCAAAGCCGAAGTCCTGGGCACTTCTGTGCCCACTCCTGGGGTCAGAGACGGCCTCTTGGGTGGTGACTGCCCTGCTTTCCCAGCTCTCCAGCTGGATGTGTCTCCGCCTCTTAGGAGCCAGGAGATGTAAGTAGGGATGGAGGAGGGTGGGGAGTGGCCACTGATCTTGGCAGCACTCAGAGGAACCGAGTCAGGATGAAGGGCACCTACTGGGGGTGGCAGAGCTCAGAGGGACCTCTCACCTATTGGATGCACAGGGCCCCACCTTTCTCACTCTGGGATGATGAGCCAGCCAGCAGTGAGGTGACCGCTCCCTCCCGGAGGTCCCCACCTCCTTTTCTCCCATCCTTACCAGGTGGAGACATGGGAGGAAAGAAGAGAAAATCAGATAGGGCCAGACGACGACAGTACCTCTGGGTGAGGGCGAGGTCTTGGGCTTTTTCCTGTCTGTGGGGTGGGGACAGGGGTGGCATGGGGGCAGCGCTGTGCCAAGAGAGAGCTGAGTGGCCTGGCAAGGAGGGTGAGAGCTGACAGAGGGGGAGAGTCTGGAGACTCTGGAGGCGGACAGAAAGAGAGACAGGAGGGTCCGAGGCTGCTGGCAGCAGTGGGCAGGCAAGCGGCAGCGGCTCCGTTTCATACCTTCTCTTTCTGCTGCCCGTCCTCCATGGCAGGACTGAGGTTCTGAGCCCTGTCTGTCTGCCTTGGGCTGGATCTCTAAGCCTAACTGCGCTACCAAGTGGGTGAGCAGAACCTAGCAAGAGGCAGCCACTTGCCCGGGCTGGAAAGAAAAGACAAGAGTCAAGATTCAGGGGGAGGCAGAGGTGGCAGTGGCGATGGCTACAGCAGCTGTGGTGGCATCTGGGGTTACGGCTGTCCCAGGAGCAGCTGTTCCACTCCCCTGAACTTCCAGAAGTGGAGGATGGGGAGCAGGTGGGAGGGCTGCTGGTGCGCACTGGAGTACAAGGAAACCTGGAAAGCTTTTCCCTCTCTTCCCTGGATGGGCCCAATGCCGAGGCAGGCCAAGAGGTTTTAAAAATGCGCCTGTCAGAATCTGCACAGGGGTTTTTGATGAGGGACAACTTGGCTGGAGGACAGAAACTGCTTGGCCGCTGAGGTTAAACTACAACCCCGAATATAGTCCTGAAAATAGGGGTTGGTGCAAAGGAGCACTGGGAAGGGAGTGTAAATGGACCTTTCCCTCCAAGACTCTTGGGGCCCTTCTGGGCCACCCTTCCACCAAAGTCTGGTTCTCTTGAGTTGTGGCTCATTCAGCTGGGGGTTACGAGACCTTTGGGCATTAAAAATAAACCAGAGGGCTTCCCTGGTTGTGCAGTGGTTGAGAGTCTGCCTGCCGATGCAGGGGACACGGGTTCGTGCCCTGGTCTGGGAAGATTCCACATGCCACAGAGCGGCTGGGCCCGTGCGCCTATGGCTGCTGAGCCTGCGCTCCGCAACGGGAGAGCCCACAACAGTGAGAGGCCCGTGTACCGCAAAAAAATAAAATAAAATAAACCAGGGACTTCCCTGGTGGTGCAGTGGAAAGGACTCCAAGTTCCCAATGCAGGGGACCCGAGTTTGATCCCTGGTCCGGGAACTGGATCCCACGTGCATGCTGCAACTAAAGAGTCCAAGTGCCGCAACTAAGACCCAGTGCAGACAAATAAAAAAAAAAAAAAAAAAAAAACCCAAAACGGAGAATGCTGGCTTTGAGATTGGACTAGATTTGAGTCCAGGGGATGCTGGCCAAGTCTCCCCTTGCCTCAGTTTTCCTGGCAGTAAAGTGATCAGACCATTTAGCAGGTCCTAGAAGATGACCCAGAGGCCATCTGTGAGATGGGAACAGAGCTCAGGTGGCAGTGGCAAGGATGAGATGGAGCTCTGAGGTCCTGGAAAATCTGGAAGAGCCTCTGGGATGGTGCGTGGGTACCTCAGCCCTCTGGGCCTGGCAGTGTCTGAATACCCTTCTTGGCCCAGACAGAGGGAGATACAAACAGAGATATGCTTGGAGTAGAGAGGAAAGAAATCCAAGTCAGGATAGCAGCACTACCTGCTCCAAGCTGCCCCCGGGGAAGATTGGAGGTAGGGGTGGAGGCATGGGGGTGTGCATTTGTTAATCAAGTTGGGGGAGTGACTGGTGGAGAGGGAGGGCATGGGGCTGCCACCTGCTGCCTTCTGCCTATTCTGAGGACTTTCTGAGCAGCCCAGCTTGATGCCCTCACTGGAGTGTCTCTGGCCACACACAGTACCTCAGGGGCCATTTGATAAGCCCGGGGAAGGTGATCAACTGGATGGGGTTGGAGACGTGGCTCTGGCCAGGGAAGAAATGGCTCAGGCTGAGCGTGGGACAGGTGTGTGAGGCAGAGAATAACCATGAGGAGACACTCCTGGTCTCTCCGCTTCTTGGCTCCGGGCCTAAGGTGGAGGTGCTGCCCGAAGCCAGGGTCCTTACTGTGCCTGCCGGGTCTTTGGAATTTGGCGCCACAGAGTGTGGCTTCGATCTAGCCTCTGACCTTAAGCCTCAGTCTCCCCCTCTGCCAAGCGGAGTTAGCGCACCTGCTGACCCCGGCCCAGCAGCTGCTGGTGAGGCTGGACTGCAGGCACCGGGCCGCGGCGCCTTGACGGCCGGTTTTCCCACTCGGGCGTAGCTGCGCTGCTGGCCCGGTCTGCGGCCCGCCCGCCCGGTCCAAGGCCCGCTAGGCCGGCTTCCCGGCCGCACTCACCACGGTCCTGGCAGCGAAGGCCAACATCTCTGCGGCCCGCCTGCGGACACACGGTCCGCTCCGTCCCCCGCGCTGGGCAAAGTCCGCGCCGCCGCCGTGGGTGGGTTCCCGCTAGAGCCTCCGGGCCAAGGTCGTCGAGTCACGGCCGCCAGCCGGTAGAGGCGGCCCTGCGCCCACCCACCGGGCCGGGCAGGCGGCCCGGGGTAGGCGGACTCCTGGGGCTCGGCCTCGTGCCAGTTGCTGGCCCCAGCGGCTAGCCGAGAGCGTGGGGCGGGGCCTGGGGCGGGACCAGGGCGCAGTTAGCGGTTGGGGACCCTGCGAGGTGGTGGAACCCCGGAAGGGGAGCAAGGCAGAGGCTGCCGTCCAGCTCGCCCTCTCCCACCTCCATAAGCTGTCCAAACTGTTGGAGGCAGTGGTGTGCACCCCTCTCAGTCCTTTCGGTGCCCTTGAGCGCTGCTCTCAGAGTGGTGGGAAAACACAACCATGTTGACAAAGGAATGTCTTCTACTGGTCCTAGGGATAGCGTCAGAGCCACGCTACTAGATGACAGGTGGGGACCGCCCCGCAAAAGCATGGCGGCCACGCTCCCAGGGCCCTCCCAGCAGGCGGTTGGCGAGTCGCGCGGCGAGCCGGTCGTTGGTGCGCATGCTCTCCGGCACCCCGCACCAACATGGCCACCGCCTCCGGGTGAGCGCGGCCGCCGCGAGTCGGCCGTTGCTGGGCATGCTCCCTGAGTGCCCCGCACCAATATGGCGGGCGTCCTCGCTGGGGTGACTCTAATTCTCGGTTTTCGGCTCTAGTCGGCCGGTGCTCATTTCTCTTCGGAAAGCCCTGAGCGCGTGGTGGGGCCGGGGAAAGGCAGGGTGGGTGCGGGGGTGAAAGGTGACAGGGGACTGCAGGCATCCAGGCCGGCTCCTGGCGGCAGGAAGATGGCTGAGGGCGAGCGGCGGTCGCAGCCAGGTAGGGCGGAGGGGCCGCGGTGGAGTGGGGGGTCGGGGGCGGTGCCAGGCGTGGGGGCGGGGACGGGGTGGGGGGTGTGGGGTGCGGTGTGTGGGGTGTTCAGCGAGGGCAGGAGGGTTCGGAGGTGGAGGAACTCGAGGGACAAACGCTCTTGGGCCCTGAGGGAGAAGTGCTGGGGGATCTGGAGGGAGGGTAGGATCCCGGGACTGCAAAAGGGCGATGGGTGGGGAGTAACGCCAGGACTTGGGGAGCCTGAGTTGCCCGAGGCTCGGGCGGGCAGCCCCGTGGCCCGAAGGGGAGGCCTTTTCCACAGCTGGGCTGCTCCTGCTAAAGTCAGCTCTTGACCTGGCGGGGAAGCAGGCAGGGATGGGGGCTGCTGTCTTCATTAGACCCTGCACTGGGGCTGGGGGCTGGTGCTCCGTGGGGCCTGCCTCGACCCCTCGGCCCTGACTCCCCCTCATCACCTGCTCTCTTTTACCCTTGGAGACCGGGCTCCGGAGTTTCAGTGGCTAAGAAGTTATCGAGGGAAACTGCTCTTGGTCCTCTAAACCACTGATTTAAAAACGCTGGTTGTGCAAAGAGACGACTTTCTTTCTGGCATCACCATCTGTAACTTTTATTTACACTGTGCATCTCAAATAACCGGGATGGAGGTGCGAGGGAAAGGATCCTCTTAGACCGGTAACGTGGGGAAATGGAAGGGTGTTTGCTGACCCCTCCCCCTCCCCTCCCTTGAGCTAAGAAGGACTTTTAAAATTCTGTCAGAGGTGCAAATAGGTTGGCTAAACAGCTATTTCAAAACAGCTAATGTTTTGAAACCATTCACTGTTCCTTCTGCCTTGTCTCCCCTTTTATGACCTCTGGGAAGGTCTCAGGAGGGAGAAACTGAAGATCAAAAGAGGCATCCCCTCCACTCCCCACCCTGCCACAAAACAACAACAACAACAACAACAAAAACCCAAAGAGCTGGGTATGGTCTGTTAAGGCATTTGAAACCTGACATTTATTTTGTTTGGTACAAAACTTCTGTGCATGTGCCCTTAGGAGTTCCGGTAATGACATCAGGATATATAAGGCAACCATAATTATCAGTGAGATGAATGTGTCTGTGAAGATGGGCGTTGGGAGGTGTGGGGGGAGAACCTGTGCACTGAGACCGAGGAAGGCTCAGGGAGGTTATCTATGGCTGAGAAGATTCAGGTTCCCAGGAGGTGTTCCTTCTTTGAAGTTTGAAACAAGGGATGTTTAGGAGCAGTGGAAAGAACTGCTTAACTCAGACAGTGCAGTGATGAAAACCTTGGGTTCTGGAGTTACATAGACCTGGCTCTACCTGGCACGCTGCGGCCTCTGTGAGCCTGTTTTCTTATCTCTCAAAATGGGGCTACTGTATCTTCCTCACCGAGCTGGTAGTGTGTGTTCCGTAGATGGTGTGGGCAAATCATGGGGCGCGGGGGTAATCAGTAAATCTGGATTACTGTCATCCTTTTCAAAGATGGTACAGGTTAAACATGTAGACAGGTTCCCAAATCGTAGGTGATAACATATTATACTCTGTGGGATTTTTTAGGAGCACCTCTAAAACTCTGCGTCTTGTACTGAGGGGTTGTAGGGGGTCCAGCTGTCCCATGGCACCTTTGTCAGAGGCGGAATAATCTGAGGCTAGAGAGGCTGTGGGTCTGACCTCATTGATCACAGTCTCGAGTTTGAAGGCTTGTCGTTTTGATTTGGGATTGCATGTTCTGGCAAGTTGTGTGTGTGTGTGTTTCATCAGTGATTGGTCGCAAAACTTCCAAGTAGCCTTTCCGCTGGGAACAGGGCCCAGCCCTGTGAAATAACGTGGGGAAGGCTAGTCCCTTTCAGGGAATAGTTCTCGCAAATTTAGAAAAGGGCTCTGTTCCCAAAGATCATTTGCAAATGGATAATTTGGAATGTAGAACACATTTTCCCATAAAAACAGTGCGGTTAGGTCACCAGCCTGACCTACAAAGCTTTTAATTTAGCCTCTTACTTGAAGTAGCAATTTATTAATAGTATGGTCATCAATTGAAGGTTCTGGGAACAGGACTTGCAGAACAGGTGGGAGGAGGAAGAGAGTTTCCCGTCTGGTTTTTGGGGCCCTGGGTTGAATTTGAATTAGGCAGAGGTTTGCCTTGGTCTTATCCCAGATTCTCTGTCTCCTTAGGTCTCCAGGTCTCCTGGCACTTTTCTTTTCCTCAGGGCCTCTCGAGGCAGGCTCTAGTCCCCCAAAGGTCATATGTTCTAGAACCTACTTAGGTCTTTGTTCCCTTTTCTCCATGCAGCTGATGTGAGCTAGGTTTTAGGAGGACAGCAATGGAACAGATTTATACTACATTGTCAGTGACTGATAGTCCTTTACACTTCTTGAGGAGTTTTCGTTTTCATTTATTTACTCTTTTTTAATAAATTTATTTTAAAAAAAATTTATTTATTTTTGGCTACGTTGGGTCTTCATTGCTGCGCATGGGCTTTCTCTAGTTGCGGCGAGCGGGGGCTGCTCTTTGTTGCGGTGCATGGGCTTCTCATTGCGGTGGCTTCTCTTTGTTGTGGAGCACGGACTCTAGGCATGTGGGCTCAGTAGTTGTGGCTCACGGGCGCTAGAGCGCAGGCTCAGTAGTTGTGGCACATGGGCTTAGTTGCTCCGTGGCATGTGGGATCTTCCCGGACCAGGGCTTGAACCCATGTCCCCCGCACTGGCAGGCAGATCCTTAACCCCAGCGCCACCAGGGAAGCCCTATTTATTTTTTAAAAAATTATTTTTATTTTTTGAGAGTTTTCATTTTCAAAGGAGGGAGCTTACTAATCTGACAAATCTCCAAGAGTAGAGTCAGGCCCACAACTCCCAGCCCGTAACCTTTGGGACTAGGTGTATTTTGGAATTCAGAGTTTTTCAGATTTCAGAAAGCAGTGTCCCATAATCAAACAAAAGGATTTATGCAGCAAAACATAAATTTCAGCTAAATGGGATACACAAACTACCCTGTGTTTTCCTTTCCCTCAGCTTCTGAAAATACAGAAACTCTATTTAAAATAGTTTATTTCTGACTACAAAAGTACTACAATGTCAGTTTTTAATAGTAACATGTAGGGCTTCCCTGGTGGCGCAGTGGTTGAGAGTCCAGCTGCCGATGCAGGGGACACGGGTTCGTGCCCTGGTCCGGGAAGATCCCACATGCCACGGAGCGGCTGGGCCCGTGAGCCATGGCCGCTGAGCCTGCGCGTCCGGAGCCTGTGCTCCGCAACGGGAGAGGCCGCAGCAGTGAGAGGCCCGCGTACCGCAAGAAAGAAAAAAAAAAAAAAAAAAGTAATATGTAGTTTAGAAAGTGGAAGTCCTTTATAAATCCTACCTCCTAGAGATGACAGCTATTAACTTTGGTGTTTAATCCTTTAGATTTTTCCAATGCATAAGCTAATAGGTATATGTGTTATTTATATTAGTATGTAAATTTTTTTTACAAAAGTAAGATTATATTGTATATAATATACTGCAGTTTTGTTTCTTCATTTATTAATGTTTAGGCTGTTTTTCTCATGTCAGTAATTTAGATTTTGTTCTTTTCGAAAGCTAGGAAGATTTCCATCCTATGGGCATATCATTATTAATCCATCACCTTATTGATTGATATTTGGGTTTCTAATTTTTTTTCGATGCAGTAAGCACTTTTATATACATCTTTGTCTATTTCTGTGGGCACATCTGTAGGGTTGATTCCTACTGTTGGCTCAATGGGTGTAGTATGCAGTTTTTACTTCAAAAGACAGTGCTGAGTTGCCCCCTCAGCAGATTCTGCCATCTAAGACTCCCACCAGCAGTGCAGGAGAGTTCCTGTTTCCCCTTCCCCAATCAGTGCCAGATGTTTTTAATCTGCCAACCTGATTTAGAAAAGCAGTCTCATCTAATTTACATTTCTTTGCTTATTCGGGATGTTGGTAATTTTTTTCAAATGTTTATTGGCCATTTTTTTCCCCCTTCTTCTTTGAGTTGCCTGTTTATGTCTAAAAGGTCAACTTGGCTTTATTCTTCTAACCTTTCTGCCTGCTTGGGAAGCAGGAGGAGAGGGCATGGCAGATCCACTGGGCGTGTCAGTTGTTGAGGGGGTTGCCAGGGTTGCCCAGCTCCTCGCAGAGTGAGGAAAGGCAGGAAGCCAGTGGGTTTGGCTTAACAAGCCAATACTTTATCCTGGGAGTACGTGTGTGGTTTATGCTAGGGCTTGCGTGTTGGAGTCTTGGTTTAAAAGTGTGTGCGCGTGGTGTGTGTGCGTGTGTGTGTGTGTGTGTCTGTGTGGTGTGTCTGTGTGTGTGGTGTGTGTGTGTCTGTGTGTGTGTGTGTGGTGTGTGTGTCTCTGTGTGTGCGCGTGTGTGTGTGGTGTGTGTGTCTGTGTGCGTGTGCATGGTGTGTGTGTCTGTGTGCGTGTGTGGTGTGTGTGTGCATGTGTGTGTGTGTCTGTGCGTGTGTGTGTGTGTGTTGGGGGGGAAGGATTCTGTTTATCTGATTGCTTTTTCATTTTCTTTGTCAAGATTCTTCGGAGGATATCCCTCCAGCCACTCAGAACTTCATCATTCCAAAAAAAGAGATCCACACTGTTCCAGACATGGGCAAATGGAAGCGTTCTCAGGTACCAATGGTGTCTGCACTGTAGGGTCAGAACTGGATGAGAAACTTGGGCTTTTTCAAAGACAGTGGTTTTCTAGGCCTGAGTGGGGCTGTGAGCTCCTGACCCTTCTTGCTTTTGGAGCCAGAGCTGTTTAGAAGCTATGGAAAGAGGTGACAGGGGAGCTGGCTGTCTCTTCCCCCTCAGGGGCAGTACTCAGGGCGCTTTAGTGGGAAGGTCTCTGGGGGCTGGGGTGAGGCTAACCATGGAGAGTTCTGCTCCAGATTCTTGTAACCCATAGCCCCTTGGGTGTTACTGTATTGGCTGGACATCCTACATGATGGAGTGGGTCACTCTGTTGCTTGGTTGCAAGCAAGTCTGGGAGCCAGTGTATCACAGGGAGAGGAGGTTACCACATGGAAACCTAGGCCAGGGAGCTGGCTGAGTCTAAAACACCAGGGAACTGGGATCCCAGTTTTCTGCGCTTCTCAGTCTTCATGGTAGGCAGAAGACAACAGCTTGTACCTTCCCAGCTTCTGGTACAGGCTGTGGAAAGACTGGGACTAAGAAAAAGAAAGCCAATTTCAAGTTCTCAGGGAAGGCCTTGCGTCCAGCTCCATCCAGTTGCCTACACCCGGTCTGGGCAGCTGGAGTGGGGAGTGTCACCTGTATAGAAGGGTGGCCCAGGGTCCTGGCAAGCTTGGCAGGTTCTCTGTGAGGAGTCTGCTGTGCTTACGCTGAGCCGGAGCCCTACCGCAGCCATATCTTGGCCTTGTTGGGGCTGGGGTTGTGCTAGCCTTTCTGGCTCCTCTTTCACAAGCCTGCCCTTTAAATATCTGGAGATGGTTATCGTGTCTTTTCTGAGTTGTTTTCTCCCCCAAGTCTTCACCGGGATAAACGCCTTAGTTCTTTACCTGCTCAAAGGATGTGGTTTCGAGTCCTTTCATCATCTTGGTTGCTCTGCCTCAGGGTTTCTCAAGCTCAGCACTGTTGACACTTGGGGCAGATAATCCTTTGCTGTAGGGGGCTGTCCTGTGCACTGTAGCATGTTTAGTAACAGCCTTGGCTGCTACCCACTCAAGGCCAGTAGCAGCCCTCCTCCCAGTTATCACAACCAAGAATGTCTCCAGACATGTTGGAAGTCTCCTGGGAGCCGTCTCGCCCGGGTTGAGAGCCACCACTTTTCTCTTCCCTGAACCTGCAGGATTGTCTGAATCCAAACGTGGCTTTAGTTCCTTGCTTTCCCCTAGATGTTTTACAAAGAACATTGGGTGTTTATGATGCGCCAGGTACTTCAGCTGATTTAACCCTCACAAAAACCCTGGGACTCTGAGGTCATCTCCATTTTGAAATTGAGAAAACTGAGGCCAGGAGGTGAAGACATTTAGACATCTAGCAAGGCACAGTTAGTGGTCGAGATGAGAGTCCAAAGACTTATGTCTCCAGGTTGCCTGGCTCTGGAGCCCCATGGGTTGAGCTGCTATGCTCTAGGCTGTAGGTGGGCAGCCTAATCTGGCCCTCTGCCTGGTTTTTTTTTTTATTTCTTTTTATTTTGGCTGCACTGGGTCTTAGTTGTGGCATGCATGAGGGATCTAGTTCCCCGACCAGGGATCGAACCCGCATCCCCTGCATTGGAAGGCAGATTCTTAACCACTGGACCGCCAGGGAAGTCTGCCCACCCCCACCTCCCCGCCCCCTGACATCCTTAAGTGTTGGATAAAGAGGAAGCAAGAAAGTGAGAGGCAAAAGGGATGAAGAAGAAACAAGACCACACAGAAGTTGCTTTGCTGCCAGGAAGTTGCTTGCTGCCTCTACAGGGGCCTGCACCTCAGTGCTTTCTTAGCCCTGTGCTGGCTGTCACCTGCAGCCCCATAGGGAAGAGGTTGCCCAGTTGGAAGCTGGGGATGGGTGTGCTGGGAGACCTGGCCATGGGCAGAAAGCAGCTTCATCTCCTGGGAGTAGGGCATCTGCAGTACAGGTACACAACCTGGCCTGCCTGGTGGGGGAAACATCTGGAAAGTTACCAGGGGATGGACCCTTGGTGGTATAGTATAATGGTGGAGTACTCGCCGCTCTACTTTGGAGTTTGGCTGGCTGGGTCCTAGCTCCACGTCTAATGACATCTTAGTCTTAGGAGTCACTTCCCCTGAAGCCTTGGTTTCCTCATCTGTAAAATGGGGACAATGATAGTGTCTACCTTGTGGGGTTGGTGAGCTCACAGTGGACTGTGGTTGGAGGCCCAGGTGTCACTGTGGCCATTGGCCTGCCAGTGGTTTCGGATGGAGGATCAGGGTTGGGTGTTTGGCCTCATCTTTCTGCTGCTCCTGCTGTCGGATTGGGAGCTGGGGGCAGCTTGGAGCTCTTTGGTAACTGGGTGGAGCTGGGGGCTGGCAAGGGTGTAGAGGGTGGGGCTCTGACACCCTTCTCCACGTCCCGCCCCCACTCTTGTTTGGCAGGCGTACGCTGACTACATCGGATTCATCCTCACCCTCAACGAAGGTGTGAAGGGGAAAAAGCTGAGCTTCGAGTACAGAGTCTCTGAGGTAGGCAAAGGCAGGAGCCTGCTGAGCAGGGTCTTTCCAGAAATAGCTCCCAAGAGCCCACAGTGGGCCCAGTGCAGAAAATAAGATCGCCCAGACACATGTGCAGCTGACATTTTAGTGTCTACTTTCAAATTAAAAAAAAAAAATCTGTGAATAGATGTGTATTTATAAAATTGAGATCAAGGTATATAAGCTGTTTTATAGCCTGCATTTTTGTTTTGTTTCATTTTGTTGTTCTTTTGTTTGGGGCCGCACCGTGTGGCTTGTGGGATCTTAGTTCCCCGGCCGGGGATTGAACCCGGGCCCCAGTATTGGAAGCGTGGAGTCCTAACCACTGGACCACCAGGGAATTCCCTAGCCTGCATTTTTGTCAACTGGTGTCTGTATGTAACTTTTTAAATTAAAAATGATCACAAAAGAGGTAAATATGCTCACTGAAGAGATTACTGTTAGAGGGGACTTCCCTGGCGGTCCAGTGGTTGGGACTTCACCTGCTAGTGCAGGGAGTGTGGGTTCAATCCCTGGTCGGGGAGCTAAGATCCCACATGCCTCGCGGCCAAAAAACCGAAACATAAAACGAAACAATATTGTGACAAATTCAATAAAGACTTAAAAAAAAAAAAAAAAGGCCCACATCAAAAAAAATCTCAAAAAAAAAAAGGTCCACATCAAAAAAAATCTTAAAAAAAAAAAAGAGATTACTGCTAGAAACTTGTATAACACGAACAAAAACGCTGGCCGCGCCCTGCATTCCTCCCCGGCTCCCAAGGGCAGCCTGCTGCTCACAGCGTGGGGACTGTCTCCCAGACCTGCCCCGAGGGCTACTCTGCCCCCTGAGCCATGCCCTCGCTGGTTTAAACAGTCCCCCGCTTAGACTTTGAGGTTATTTCCCTAAACATTGCTGCTCTGAACACCATCGCACATAGACCTGTGGGCGTTCTTTCCTAAGGATTCATTCCGAGAGGTGGAAATGCTGAGTTGCAGGGCGTACACTGCTTGGTGCTCTTTGGCTGTGTTTCAAAGACCGGCTTGTTTGTAGAGGGAGGGTGAGAGCTGTGGGGAGGCTGATAGGCACAGGCAAGCTCTTGGCCCTTGCTGGATGCCATCCCAGCCCCGGTGCCAGGCCTGCAGCGGCCTCCTGTGTTCCTGTCCCAGGCAGCCCAGAGTCCCCTTGAGCTTTATCTTATCTCAGACCCCAGGCCCCAGCAGCCTCTCAGTGCCTTGTCCACCCAGCTCTCTAGCCGTAGCTTCGGTCTGTTGGGTAAGGCCTGGCCCTGCCCTGGCCCAGTCCGTCCACCTTTGGCAAGGCTGGCATAGCCCTCATGCTCCTGGACCCTAACTGGCTGCTGGGTGGCCAAGGTCCTGTTCTGTCACTGTGGGGAGCCAGGCCTGTGCTGGGGATTGACAGCCGTCTCTTGGGAGCTGGCCCACCAGTGACTTCTTGGGTTCCTCTTGGGCCTGCTCAGTGCTCTGGGGCTTTGGCTGTGGGTGCAGACGGCGGGGGGTCGGGAGAGAGGGCCTCTCCTTGAGCCTGTGCTAAGGAACGCTGAGCTGTGCTCAGTGGGCTGGGGAATGTGGGGGAAGCCTAATTAAAGGGCAGTGTTGTAATTACCTCAGCAGATCCTGAGCTGCCAAAGCCCTCTCAGGTCCCTTCATTACCCCTGAGGCTTTGATGTCCATACCACCCAGGTGTCGTCTCAGCTCAGAAGCCATTCTTTTGGCAGGATTGCAGCCTGGTTAAGTGCTTGGGTTCTGGAGTCTGGCTGATCAGGTTTTGATAACCTCTCACTTCTGAGCTGCGTGGGCTTGTCGCCTCTGACGCTTCTGTCTCCTCATGGGAAGAGCCACAGACCTACTCATGGCCCCTGGGGAGATCCCGCATGTAGGTTTCTTTTTTTTAAGCACAGAGCCTGGCACATACTAGATGGCATTGTCACTATTAGCTATTGTTATCGTTCGCTGGTTTTCAGTTTTAATTTCCAGTAACACTGATGTTGTTTCACTTGGGGCTCCTCCTGAGCTGGGTTCATTCTCACTCAGGGGACAGGGGTGGCCCGTGTGGTCTCCAGAGGTTTCCCGGCTTCTGCCCCCCGCTGGCTGTAGCGGCAGAAGGCACCACACAGCACGCGGCCTCCCTTCCTGCCTGGCCAGCTGCTGTGGCTCCGCTGCCTGCCGCTTCTCCTGTCTCTCAAGGCAGGGGGAGGCGGCTGCAGCGGCTGGCGGCTGGCGGGGGGGGGGGGGGGGGGGGTTAAAAGCAAAGGCTGTCGGCTGGCGGGGTGGGGGTGGGGGGAGGGCAGAGTGGCCTGGGGGCGGCTTCCAGACCACCCGCAGCAAGGGGAACCGGCGAGGTCGATGTATGAGATCGTCTAGACCCATGTTTAGAATGCGCTCCTTCCTTCTGAAATTATGTCTGTCCTGTTCTTTGGGGGTTAAAATGTTTTATTTTTGTAAAATAAAGGTGATAGTAGATAGGAGGCTTATGTTTTGTTGTTGTTCCGTTTGATTTTTTTTAAATGAGGGCAGAATTTAAAATTGGCAAGTAAGATTTTGGAGAAAATTTTACTGGTCCATGAAATCTGAAAAGGAAGCTTTGGTCCAAGGAGGAGGAGGGGGGCTCATCTTACTCTTCATGCTTCCTAGAGGCTTCAGCCCACAGCTCGCTCCCCTCCAGCCCTCTCCCACAACAAGCCAAACAACAGAGGCAGCCCCTGCCTTCAGGAACCCTCTCCAGAAAGAGGAGCTATAGGAGCCTTTTAATTATTCATTGGCCCAGCTGATCTATAGCAGCCGGGGCCTGGCCCCCGCTGGCTTCAAGCACCTTCTTTATATCCCCTTCAGTGCCTCACCGAGAAGACAGTTCTCTGGGGCATCTGTTCTGGTGCTTCTGGGCCCAGGATTACTGCACCGTCCCTTATAAGTCCCAGCTGCTGCATGGAGTTAGGTTTGCTCTGTCCTTATCAGCTCTTCCTGGCGACCTGGTTCTTCACAAAGCCAGGCTCTGGCAGTGCACATTTCAGCAACGCAGCTCTTTGTCACCCTGGCCCTTGGCAACAGCCAGGTATAAAGGGAACTTTCTCCTCTTACAGATAACTTTCCTCTTCTCCCAGGCCCCAAGCGTAGGGA